AATCAAGGAACAGCCTCAACCAATACAGTTGTTCGTTTTAGCAATCAACTTGGTCCTTATTACATCACCTGCCCTCAAAGATGACTAAGGTCAAGCTATCTGAACCTTGGGATCAGAGGTTTAGGCATCACAAGAGGAGGAGCAAGGGCTGCCTCCTGGTGCTGAGTTTGACCCTTGAGTTTAGATAAAGGCGAGCACAGAGTCACTTTTTTGTGAGAACTGAGGAATGTGCCTGGTGAGCACCTTTCTTCATTTCAGTGGAAAGCATTGCTTTCCTACGCTTTTGCCAATTCCAATTTTCAAAGAGCAGGAAGACCAGTATCCTTGGGATCTGTGTGTCACTGTCTTTGGAAAACAGTTCACTGCCTAGGACCAAGTTGACCATTGCTTATCTAAGGGAGTCTTTGCTGGGCTCACACAGGCACAGCGCTCACTACTCAAAGGACACAAGCTTGTTGTTGGTTGGAAATGTCGTGGTACTTAAGAGGCTTCCTTCTTGGGGGTAAAGGCCCTGGGCTTGCTTTCTAGGTTTAAATCCTCACAAAACTTTCAGAAATACAGGAGATCTATTGGCCTATGTTTTGGCCTTCACCTACAGGGTCACTTTGTTACGGAAGTAATTGGCGAGTGACACACAGAGAGGCAGCAGAATGGAAGTAGAATAACAAAAGTTTACTCCATTGATGGGGATCGATGACACCTAATGGCAGGGCCCTGACCCATCCAGTACTCAGCTACAACTCCCCCCTCTTTTTTTTTACAACTCCCCCTTTTATAGGTTTTACAGCCTTGATGATCTCATTCAGATGGTTACATTGCATTTTCACAGTTCACATTGCTGATGTTCAAAACATGGTGGTGAGGCAGTTGAATGTCAACCAGAATGCAGCACTTCTTTGGTAGTGGAGGTTACCTTTAAAATTCATTTAGTTATCTATTCTAGCCCAGGGGAAGGGGGCATGTCTAGTCAGCAAAGCTAACAATGGTTCTTTTTATTTACAAAACTTTTGAGGGATACTACATGCCTCCTGTGACCATTAATTCTGAACTAAACAGAGTAAAGGGCAGAAGTTATCTAACATTTTGTAGGGTTTGCTGTTAAAGTTTTCCCTATCAACTTTCTAAATCCATATATAGGCATTTATGCACGGAGGCCTGGTTTCTCATTGCAGCAGTGTTTTCAAGCGGAGCCTGGAGATTTGTCTGGTCCATAGAGTATCCATCTCCTCTCTGGTTGCATACATGAAATCACAACTGAATGATTTATTGGAATTCGAGCCTTGTTGGAGTCAGGGACCTAGGATCCTTTTAGAGCCCTGATGAGCGAGCACACTGCGGTTCTCTGAAGCCTCAGGCAGAGTGAGCTCACCTCAAGCAGGTCTACTGGCATGCTCCAGCATCACTTCGATGCAGGCTTCCCTAGGGTCCGGCGATCAATTGTATTCTGAGGAGTCTTAGGTTCCTTCTGGTTCCTTGGTCTCTGGGATATTTGGGGCTGGTCCTCAAACACTAGGTCCTGTTTGTTCCAGAGCACAAGAAACCTAACTCCTGGGCTGGGGATTTAGCTCAGTGGTACCACCGCCTGCCTCACAAGCACATGGTCCTGAGTTCGATCCCCGGTACCAAAACCAAACCAAACCAAACAAATAAACTAGCTCCTTCCATTTCCTGCTTCGGCACCTGCCCTTAAGTCTTTGGTAGAATTCTTCACACTCACTGAGCATTCACATTCACAGATGCATTCTCTCTCTTACCAGGACCTAGGTATCTGTGCACTGGCCACAGTTCAGCGACCTGCTGAGCAATGAAGCTTGCTTGGCCTCCGTACCACACTCACTCGAGTTCTTTTCAGCCAGATTTGGGCTTCCACTTCCTCTCTCTGCCCCCTGTGCTTAGGCGGTTTGGTTTGGCTCTCTTCTCTTGCCAGGACCCACAGCCCGCCCCGCCTAGGATCTCTGCTTCCGGGAGCACACCTTCCGCCCCGGCTCTTGCCGGGACTTTTGGCTCTTGGGGGTCCTGCCTGGGCTCTTTCGACCCCAAACACTCCCACGTTGCTCCCGGGGATTCAAAAGTCTATGCTCTGCGTTTAGCAGGGAACGTGCTGTCCATGCTGGACACTGTGGACGTCTGAGGGAAGAACATTATAAGTGCAGGATAGCAGAAGAAACGGATCGCAAAGTTTCCTGCTCCCCAGGACCACCACCGTACAGCCAGCACGCTGACCATAGAGCTCTCGGGCCTCCTGGATTCCTAGAGAGCCGCCGGAAGTGCCTCTGGGGCGCGAAGCGCGCTGACCGGCGCGGGACCTCCGCAGGCGTGGAAGTCGGGGTCCCGCAGGGGCCTTGTGCTCGCGCAGCTTCTGTGC